GAGAGAGAGAGAGAGAGAGAGAGAGAGAGAGAGAGAGTGAGGGAGAGAGATCCCTGTCGGAGCAGAAATGAATCAGATGTGTCCAGGAAGTGTGGTCTCCTCGAGGGAGAAGGACTCTCCTGTTTGCTGTTGGAGTGGATTTGATCAGAGTCTGGTATCTGAAGCGCTGGAGGTAGAATAGAATAAATCAGGACAGGTGCACACGTCCATGTTAGTTTCCTACTGGGAGGAAAGACCGGAAATGAAGCCTGACATGGACTTGAATTAGCTGTTCAACTGAACTGAATCTCATCTTATCATCTTTTCACAACTGTAAATATCTTTTCGCCCCCCCCCCCCGGAGTAATTCTGCTTTCTTACACCAAAAAACAGTCAACAGGAAATCAGGAAACAGAGCTGTACTCCATGTTCAGTCTGATTTTAAATCCTTTTTTAAATGTGTGAAGGTGTTAAATTACTCTTTAAACCTCAAACCCTGTCTCCTAAAAACTATGTTTCTTTACAACTAAACTGCATTATGTTTGAGGGAAACGTGTTTTCTCTCAGATCACCATCTCCGTTTTAAACACGTGAGTGAATTGAATAAAAATACAACAAAAAACACAATACAACAAAACTACTTTAAGTTTCGTATATAACATTAAGCGTAATGTTAAAACCAGGCGACAACCTCCGGTTCTGCAAAGTGAAGCCGACGCTTCATGTGTTAAAGCTGCATTCTCTCTAGTGTCCACCAGGGGGCGACTCCTCTGGTTGTATAGAAGTCTATGAGAAAATGACTCTAATTCTCTCTTGATTTATTACCTCAGTAAACATTGTAAACATGAGTTTATGGTCTCAATCTCTAGTTTAAGTCTAAGTCTTCTTCAATACAGCATGATGTTCATTTAGTAGTTCAGGTCGACACCCGAGACGTATACAGTGTCTCTACGTCACTCCTCCTCAGTCCAGATATGGTCACTTCCTGTTCACTGGTTGCAAAAAAACAAGATGGCGACGGACAAAACGCCGAACTCGAAGCTTCACTTCGTTCACTACATCCACTTCTTATTTATACAGTCTGTGGTTAAAACACAGGACATGAACACTGGTCTCCTGGGTGAAAGTCTTGTGTTTCTTCGTCCATTCTGACCTTTTATTAGAAACATATTTGTAATCCGACAGAAAATTGTCGACTCACAGAGAAAAAACAACCGTCAAATGGACACACACACTTTATAAAACAAACTTAAAACAAAACTTTTATTTTGCAGTAAGTATTTCTTGTTTTTCTTCTTTCTTCATGCTGCTGTTGGACATGAATATTTTATCCGAGACTTCCTCCTCTCCTCTAACCTTGACCTCCTCCTCATCCCCGCTCACACAATCTGTGTCCACATCACGTAAAAACATCCGCGGCTTGTTTCATGAAATTCTATGAGAGCGACGCAGGAAATAAACATACGCTCGACCCAAAGTTTCCTAATTGAGCTGTATGGGACGTGGCTCCTGAAGAGCATCGCGATGTCCTGAAAACCAAACTAGAGAGAGAGAGAGAGAGAGAGAGAGAGAGAGCGAGAGAGAGCGAGAGAGACCATCAGTTAGATAAGTGTCCTACACGTCATGTGATCACATGGTGTGTGTGCTGTCTGGGCCGGCGTCGGCGTCCTCAGTGTGAGGTGTCTGTGTGTTTGGCGGCTCTGCGGCAGGCCGGCCTATCTGAGAGCAGTGGGAGTCAGACACACAACAGACTCGGATCAACACTCGTCTGATTGGCCCGGCGGGGGGGCAGAGAGGATAGGAAAATAAGAGAGAGAGACGGAGGAGGAGGAGGAGGAGGGTGTTATTCTCTTCTTTTGTGTTTCTATAGAGAAACAGGTTGAGGACGAGGTAAAGCTCAGTTTGTCTGCAGACAGTCAAATCTGAGAACTTTATTTACTTATAACATCTGATAGAAATATGAGCAAAGCGAATACAAAACCTAGATTCAACTTCATGTTTTTAAAATATGTTGGTAACTGATCTATAAAGTGACATGTTTCATGCAAAACAGAGGTTTCCATTCAACAGTTCACAGTGACTGCATTTACATGCACCAGATATTCCTGTTTTTTGTCCTTATTACGAAAAAAGACATTATTCCTCATAAAGCTGTTTGCTTGCCTAATAATATGAATATTCCACTAATATTCCCGTTTACATGCAGCCGTTCATATTCAGATGAACATAAAACAAACTCATCTTCATCAGCAGTGAATCTCACGGTGACGTCGTTCTCTTCTGTGTTTGACGGCTCGACGTCCTCACACGTCGTTCATCTCGTCTAAATACGTCAAAGTGAACATCGGGAGCTAACAGATGTTCTCTCAGCGTGCTCCAGAGGTGGAGGACTTGTTGGACCTCTTTCATTCCTTCAAACAGCTTCTCTAAATCATATTTGTTCATATATATATATATATATATATATATATATATATATATATATATACAGTATATATATATGAATGAGCTATATACATGTCCAAAGAATGATCCTAGAACCTGAGCAATATCAACATACCACACGTTTTACTCTGAACATGAACTAATTCAGAATATACAAACAGAATATGATGTTTACATAAAGCGTATCATTATTGTCATATTCAAACCTGTAGAGGTACTTTTTATTAATGATTAAAATAAGTTGTAAAATAGCTACTTTTGCAATTCAAGTCTGTCATTCTGTCCAAGAGAGGCAGCGAATAAACAACCGGAAGAGAAAGACATGCTGGCTAGCTGACAGGTCGGT